TTCTAGAGAAATAAGTAGCTTTATGTCAGGGAAAGGGGAATCTGATTTTTCTGATGTTAATTTGGGGGGAACGTATGGATAACTCTCTCTCTCATGTATTTTTATGGTTGAAATATCTCTGTAAAACAGAATATTTATTTAAATACAGTTTCATATTTTCAATTTTTTTTTAGTTTGTACATTTTCTGACATGTCACCATAATGGGAAACACCATAAGCTTCTCATTTGTTCTTATTTAATTGTTGTCCTAGTAATTAATTCACTGTGCTTCTTAGATAGACAAAAAAAAAATTGCCTGAGATTACCAGCCAAACTTCTTTGAGAGGAGAGAACACTCTTAAATCTGTTGACAATATGGAAAATATTTATCTGAACAATGAGCCAAATGTACAAATAAAGAGAATTAAAAATCTGACTATAAAATGTAAACAACAAAAGCTGCTCTTAAAAAAATTATCCTTAGACAAGTACTATATATTCTTGGCCCAATTCTGCTCAACACAATTTACACCAGTGTAGCTAAGAGTAGAATTTGGCCATCTTTTTTTTTTAATGGTACTTGTTTCAGTTAGGATGCACTGTATCCTCAGTATTGCTTTCCCTCATTTTATGCATGTGATTGTTTTTACTTCATAAGCATTTTTTACCGGACAATGATAAAAACAGATTTAGAGGTAAATATTTGCTGGTGCACTTAATAAATAGAACTGGGCTTCCTATCTGTTAGCAAGAATTTTTTTGAAGTATTTAATGAAATATTTTCACTGATTTCAAGCTGCCCAAGTCACTTTAATTTGCACAACTGGCACAGATGTGGCATATTACCTTGGGTGTTACTGACCTTGGCAGCCCTACAAGACAACCTTTATGCAGAGATGAACTGTTTCACTGCGAAGAATAACTATTCTAGAAACGCAGAAAATTAGGAAGGAAGAACAACTGATCACTTTAGTCCATCCCCACTCCATTTTGTTAGTGGATCAACCAGTCTTTGGCAGCTGTACCCAAGATAGTTGTAAATCCCATATATGAATCTAATCCAGTTTTAAATACTTTGGTGACTAGTAGTTTCATCTACTTCCTTTGGTAGTCTACTGAACATCAAAGTAAACCACTGAGTACAATTACTCTTCTTAATTTGCACTCAGTCTCTCTTGCTTATAGTTGGTTCATGATTTAATACATAGTTTTAATTGTGTGATTCTTGCATGTATTTGTATTCCATTTAATCATCATGAGCAAAAATGTTCTAGTATTATTTTGTGGAATATGAGCCCACAGTAAGTGGTGAAAACCTGTCATTTTAATAATTTAAAACTGAACTGGACAAGGCACATGAGAATATACTGCAGAGACTATATAGTATTCTAGAGAATTTAGGGGGAGCCAGAAAAATATATTGAGGCATCAGCTTTCAATGCGTTAGAAATGCGAAGGCTAGGACTATATAACATGGTTTAAAAGAGAACTAGATAAATTCATGGAGGTTAAGTCTATTAATGGCTATTAGCCAGGATGGGTAAGGAATGGTGGCCGTAGCCTGTTTGTCAGAGGGTGGAGATGGCTGGCAGGAGAGAGATCATGTGATTACCTGTTAAGTTCACTCCCTCTGGGGCCCCTGGCAGACAGCATACTGGGCTGGATGGACCTTTGGTCTGACCCAGTAAGGCCATTCTTATGTTAGAACTGGCAGTTATCAAAACCACTGACTGTAGGGAACAGTATATCGGCAGTTTACAGTTCTCCTTTCATCTGCTGTAAAACCAATGAATTCCTGTGTACACCTCTATCCCGATATAACGCTGTCCTCAGGAGCCAAAAAATCTTACCGCGTTATAGGTGAAACCGCATTATATCGAACTTGCTTTCATCTGCCGGAGCGTGCAGCCCCGCGCCCCCGGAGCGCTGCTTTACCGTGTTATATCGGGTCAGAGGTGTACTACAGGCTGGTTGGTAGAGGCTGCCTCATCGTTGCTGAGTTTCATGTAATGTGAACAGTCAGCTAACTATTTTTGTGAGGCTCCATTATACAACAGAGACTTATTAAAAAGAGTGAAGTAAAAATGGAGGAATCTCATGCATATATTTAAAATACATAATCTGTAACTCACTAAGACCTGCCCTGCAGCTTTTTCTGATGATAAACACTGATTTGTACACATCTTCAAAAAGTGATATGTACAGACCCTAGGTTTTGCAATGTATTTTATTTGAGTGTGTAAAATTGAGTTTGTATTTTCAGATTTGTTTTCTTTATTTAAACATAAATATAGTTAGAACCTGATTTTGCAAAGTGCTTAGCACCCAATTACTCACTTGGCTAAAATGAAAGCTGGATCAGTCTCTTACTGGGTGCATTCTGGTTGGTAACTTCAATGTGGTGGAGTGCAATATTGTAGAAATTCTCAGAATACAATAATTTTTATCTTGCACTGTTTGTTTTTTCTCCATTTACCTTTGATGTTTTACTTTCTGCATTTCACAGGAAAAAAAAGATATATTCAGTATGATAAAACATACAGCTGGAAATGCCACTGAGCAGGAAGTTAAGACTACAATCACAGTTTACAATCCAAATAATCAAAGTGCAAACAAAACCACCTGCTATCTGTTGCCCCATACAGTATTATTTTGGGTGGATATACAAGTCTTTTTAAACTGCACTCATTTTATAATCTAAGTGCAATTATCTGCATTCAAGAAGCTACAACTGTTAGTATTTTGTACTAAATGAAAATCTGACCTATTTATACAGTATTTAGAAGAATATAAATAAGTATATTAGCTCACCTGGTTTCATTATGTCAGTAGGGCCTGATCCTATAAACTGCTATGCTTGCATTCCTTATTCATGTGGGTAATCACATTCACTTCAGCTGCATCTGTTCATCTACCCACATGAGTAAGTGTTTGCATATTGGGCCTCTTGTGAATAACAGTTCTGTTTGAATGTATTTACATAGTATCTTATACAAAGCTTTCCCAAGTTTCAGTAAAATGTATTGCTTTTCTAAAACAAAAATAGGTACCTTTATATAAAAGAGCTATTTAGCAAGTTTTATTTTTAAATCCTTTTATACACTGTTATAATGTACATGCCATGAGAAGTGTTATATTTAGTCATAATTTTGGGGAACAACTGTTCGTTTGTTTTTTTTAAAAAGGCATTAATAGTGTTTCTTATCCATTGTTTATTATGTTAAAATGGTATTAACTAGTACTGCATCATTTTATTTCTATTTTATAACTGCAATGAACAGTGCATTATTTTGAAACCCTCAAAACCATTGCTTCATTGTGTTTTAATCTGTAATAAGTTAATATTTGGACTTAAGAAAAAATAAAACTGCCTCCCTTTACAAGTTGTTTTTATGATGGTGTGAATATGTATATTAAACTGCAGCATCTGTAACTAAGAATAAACTTTCCAAATTCTAAATGTTTGTTGTTTTAAATAACTTCTAAATGTTTTTAATGAGGCAAGAATTCAAATAAAAATTAACAACCTTACTAATTTCCCCTTTAATATATGTTTAGTTATTCAACAAGTCACTAATATAAAACAAATGAATTTGATTTTAAAATCAACATAGTTTTGAGTCCATGATAGATCATTTCCAAATCATTCACATTTACACAAATTAAATTCCTCTTGTATTTATCAAGTAAATCTGTCCATAGCTGCAACTAAAGATGCAATTTATCGATGACCCTATTTTCTAATCAGTAACAAAATCTATCAAGCTGTTTCAAACAGTTCACAAAGGGCTCAGGCCTGCAATCTCTGCAGACTGCTTACTCCAGAACATTAGTGGTTGCAGGCATTGTTTTGTAACATTTACGCTTAAAACAGGGCAAACTTTTTATGCAATGGGTGGGAGAATTCCCCTCAGGCTTTCAATAGTTCTTCCACAGTGTAAACAAATCTGTGCAAATAAGTTAACGTGACCAATCTGAATTAATGATAGTATTTCCCCTGTTGTTCATGTTCCCTCTTTACCAGTTTGAGAGTAAGCCATTTTTCTCCAGCATTGTCAGCTCTGCTACTCTTTCACTGAGCGAGCAAACAGGAATATGGGAATACAAACTTTTCTTTGCTTAAGACTATGGGGTATATATTGTGCTGCCAATAAATTTGTGATATTGGACAATGTTCTGAAAGGTAGCCCACAAAAACACACACCACAATTAATTTTTAGATATAGAAACACCTGCCTTAAAATACAAATATTCAAAAGAGAAAACCTTACAACACAGATAATGAGGATTTGGAAGGGCCCAGGCCAGTGACATAACATTATTTTTATTAATGCCATGTGAATTCTAAAGAAGAGTCACCTACTTCACTGGTATAATCTCCACAGCATCCAGACAAGAGGTCTGAAAGTGATCACAGCATCATAGGACTGGAAAGGACCTCGAGGGGTCATCTAGTCCAGTCCCCTGCACTCATGGCAGGACTAAGTATTATCTAGACCATCCCTGACAGGTGTTTGTCTAACCTGCTCTTACCAATCTCCAGTGAGGGGAGATTCCATCACTGGATTACACACACAAGCAAGGGCAGGGCCAGGCCTGAGAATTAGGAGACGCCAGCGGGCCCATCCCCTTTGTGGCACCAAGAGAGGGAGGCAGGAAGAGAACTGGTCTAGGGGGAGCCCGTGGGGCCTAAGGCCAGCAGGGCGGGCATGGGGCAGAAATGCTCCTGAGGGTGCCAATCTAACCCCCCCGCCAGCGCTCCTCACCCTACTCTTGCTCTTCTCGCCTTCCAGCTGCGGCGCTGGGCTTCAGCAGCAGCAGGCCCCGTGGGAGACGGGGGGGTGACTTGGCGGGAAGAGCCCTGCGCCGGCGCTCCCCGAACGAGGCTGGGCCCGGGCCCGCTGCGCTGGCGGGTTCCCTCAGGAGCGCGGCGGTTCCCTGGCGGGGCGGGGCGGGGCGGGAGCCGAGCCCGCCCGGAGAGCAGGCAGCTCGGCGGGGCGGGGCCCCCGCGAGAAGAGCCATGCAGGCCCGGCCGTGGTCCCGGCAGGAGACGCTAGCCCTGCGGCGGCAGCTCGTCGGGTAGGTGCGGCGAGAGCAGCGGCCGGCCGAGGCAGCGGGGTGGGCTCAGGCCCTGCGCGGAGCATAAACGGGTCGCCTCTTTCCTTCGGGCGCGGCTCGGCCTGGAAGGAGCCGGGTTATCAGCGGAGCCCGCGGGCTGCGAGACTGTTAGGGACGCACCGAGGCGCCCATTGCCCGCGCCTGGCCAGCGTCAGCCGGTCCCGGGTTCAGGGCAGGGCGGGCAGCCCCTGTCCTGACGCAACTCCCGCCGCGTTTGCGCGAGTTTGAAACTTCACGGCGGAAATGAACTCCGCTGCGCCGCCTAGTAGCTGGGACTGTAGGCAGCGCTCTTCGGGGATCGTTTCTTTATTCACGTCTGCAGCTGTGGTGCTTGCTACATAATAGAAATAATAACCCTCCGCCCCAATGTTCTTTGCTTTGTCTCCCAAAATATTTAGGTTTCTTTTTCCCTAATTCACGGATCTGACGACTTGGGGGGTTTCCGAATTCCCTCCCTCTTTCAATTGCTGCATTCAAACGTGTTACAGTTGAAAATAATTTTGAATCCACTTGTTCTTGAAAGTACTGTAGTGTAATCACTTTCACTGTCTTGAGGATGATCTCAGGTTATGGCCACACTCGGGGTGGGGTGTAGAGTACAGGCATTCCAGGTGTAACTACAGGCTGCAGTGAAAGGCAGGCTGCATCCACACTTGTCACTGGTGTGTGTGACAAGCTCCGGCAGTGGGGAAAGGCTCTGGCAGCAGGAAGCAGTGGGACACTACATTGCTAAAATTGCAGTTTAAACAGGAGCTTCTTGGGTAGATAAAGAGCTATGTAGCGTATATGACCTGTGGGTTCAGGGCACTCTACCCACCAAAGCCCAGTACTGTTGGAATGGGGGTTGCTGCTGCACCACCTGGCTTGAAATAGCATTAACAAACACCAAATATATGGTTTTCGTCATCAGCATCCCTCACTATAAAAATTGTTCCAGAACCCCTGCCTAAGCCATGTCTCACAGTCTATACTGCTGTTTATACCTGGGCTAGCTGGGTGTGCTGTGTCTGTAGTCTACACACTTCCATAAGTGAAGAGGTAGCCTCACTTACATCGCTGTAAATCCAGAATGGTTATTTTGGATTAACGCTAGAATAATTTAGGAGTAACGCCAGTGCTGTTGATGTGCTTTATATGGATTTATGCTGGTGGAGCTGAGATGGTGATCAGGCTCTTAGCTAGAGATCTATAGAATCATGACTGGTGTGGAGAAAGTAAATAAGAAAGTGTTATTTACTCCTCATAACACAAGAACAAGCGGTTACCAAATGAAATTAATAGGCAGCAGGTTTAAAACAAACAAAAGGAAGTATTTTTCCACACAACGCACAGTCAACCTAAGAATATGGAGTGTAACATCACAGTTGTGAAGGCCAAGACTATAACGATTCAAAAATAACTAGATAAATTCATGGAGGATAGGTCCATCAATGGCTATTAGCCAGGATGGATAGGGATGGTGTCCCTAGTCTGTGTTTGCCAGAAGCTGGGTATGGGCAACGGGATGGATCACTTGATTATCTGTTCTGTTCATTCCCTTGGGGACCTGGCATTGGCCACTGTTGGAAGACAGGATACTGGGCTAGATGGACCTTTGGTCTGACCCAGTATGGCCGTTCTTATGTGTTATGAGGCTACTTTTGTTTATATTGCAAAATGTCTCTCATACATTTAATTTCACATATTCCACTTCATTTTATGATACTACTGCCCAAAACCAGAAGTGTAGTTGAGACATTTACAAAACAGAAGTACCTTTATTGTACTAGATTTCCTCAGCAGAGTTCAATTAATTGGCAACAGAAGAAAATGAACTATTGGACATTTCTTTGCACTTCAAAAAGATCACAAAACCCCATAGAACTGTTGAATGCAACAAAGATAATAGCAAGGAATCTGATTATGTGACTGTTGACCTTTGAAATTAAGTTGTGTATTAAAGACCAGACTAAGGACAGACTTCTCTCAATTGGCTTTTCTTAATCTGTAAAGGTTTTATGACAAGAAGGATATGGGTGGAAAGTGAGCTCTGGTGTTAGAAGAAATGTGTTATGGGTTCAGTCATACACACAACATGAGGAACAATCTTTCAGAATTTAATCTTCTCATAATTGAGGTGTCCACAGTCATCAACATTGGAAGCCAGATTTCTTAATAAGTGCTATCTTCTAAGTGCTAAAGGAACACTGTAAACTGAAAAATCAGAGTATTTTTTACCTACTATTGTTACCAGTAAGATTGCTGTCACTGAGTTACAGTAGAGAAAAACTTTTTTTCTCTGTTTTTCATTGTATTTGTGTATTTGACAGCATTTTGTGTGCATGCATTTTCAGTGTCCCCTGTGGTCTTTCACACAGCAATAGAGGCAAGAAAAATATATTTTGACAATAGAAATATATGGTTATAAATCCACACAAACTGGCACAGGTACTATAACTAAGGCTACATTTATGTCACGGAGGTCATGGAAGTCACAGAATCCATCACTTCCAGAGACCTCTGTGACATTCTCTGCTTCAGCCCCAGGGGCTGCAAGACTCTGGAGCGGACAGCCAGTGGGGCCCTGGCAGAGTTCTGGCGACAGGGGGCCCCCTGCAAATTTCCAGCGACAGGCGACAGAATCCTGAGGAGGCCCTCCTCAGGGTTCCAGTGATGGGCAACAGCCTCGCGTGGGAGAAGGGGGATGCCTCAGGCACAAAGATGGGGTATCCCATTTTCTCTTTGGGAAATATGGTCACTCTGCAGCTCCCAGCCGCCGTGAGCGGAGGGGAACCCCACAGCTACCAGCCACCACAGTGGTGGGAGAAACCATGGAGCTGCAGCAGCAAAAGGTCACGGCTTCCGTGAATTTTTGCTTATTGCCCATGACCTGTCCATGTCTTTTATTAAAAATAACCATGACAAAAGCTTAGCCTTACCTATAACATATTCTACTTCACTGATTAGATTTCAAGTTGATGGTGTTCTTTTAATAACTACCTGAAATTACATATTTTCATCAGGTAAGAATTATCTCTCCTGCTCCCTCGGGCAGGCACTTAGGAGCTTTACTTGTTTGGGCACCTCATTATAAAAGAACACTGATCAGTTAGGCCCCAGTCTTGCAAAGAAAACCATGTGGGCAGACTGCAGCAACCATGCAGAGACTTACAGAAGTCACCAAGGTTGCATGTGGGCACAGGTCTCTCCGTGTGGTTCCAATTTGCAGGATCAGAACCATATAGAGAGTACAGGGAAGGTGAAAAAAAATACGAAAAGTTGAGACGATCGGATTTGGGAGGAAATCTTAACAGAATTTAGTGTGTGTGCCTCTTGAAGGAGACAAAGGGAGTGGAGACATATAGCTCTCTATAAAATTTTAACGTAATAATAATGTAATGAGGGGACCACAGCATTTCAAATCAGACGAGACACTAGATACAAGTCCCTATATTTAAATGCTGGAGTTTGGTGGTCAGACATCCTCAGTGAAGGGCTCGTGAATCTGAAGTTGGTTTTTCCTGCTGGTCCGCCAAAACCTAAGTTGGCTGACTGTTAGCGCATGGTACAATGCCTGTCTCTCTTCTCCAACCTTTGTTTGAGGGGACTGAAGTAGAGTGCAGGCAGTTCATGTTTAGTTTATTTTGAGAAAATATTGCTTCCATTTTGCCTTTGGTTAAAATTACAAAAAGTTTGGCAATAGTTAATTCTGTGTGACTTTTAGATGTTTTATCAGGATCTTATAGTTTAAGAAGTTTTGTGGTTTTGATGTTTGGTACAGCTCTTCCTGCAAGCTCTTTTTTCCTGAAGATCCAGTGAAGATTGTTAGGGCAAAAGGCCAGTATATATATGATGAACATGGAAGAGAATACCTTGACTGTATCAACAATGTGTCTCATGGTAAGTTTAAAATAACACTATTCATTATCAGGTTGTTCTAAATGAAGGCAACAATATTCTGGGAGAACTCAACCAAACAGAATAAAAACAGCATTTGTTTTTCTTATGGCAATACTATGTTGCATTGCAGAAGCCCAATTTTTTTGTCATTTGATTGGAAAAGGGTGGAAAACATCTCTTGGGGCTGTAATTTGGGCAATACATTTGATTTCTTGGTGTGTATACATGAAATTTTCCCCATTTGCTTTCTGCCCAATCTTTGTAAAAACGCAGTAAACTGAAATTCACAAGCTTCCTGCTTAGGCAGCCAAAAGTAGATCAACTGTTTAGCTGTGAGTAATGAATGACTTTATAGGGTCTGTTCCATTTGTGTATGTTTTCCCGTAAGGCAGGGGGTTTTGTGTATATTCTCCCCTAAAACTGTTTATTTGCTTACTCCTTGACTGCTGCTTCAGTGGAAAAACATGTTTCCTATTGCATGTATTTGGAATCTATCAAAGTGGTCAAGGCTTATAGCCCTGTGCAGAGCTATGCATTTGAAGGATTTAGAAGGCAGAGTGCGCACACAGTTCAGTGGATCAAACTGGATACTACCCCTGATTTACCAAGCTGATACAAAGGATTCCGGAAATCTGATTAAGAATATGAACTAAAGCAATTTTTTAACAAATACAACCAGAACTTGTGAACCAGATGATGCACCCTAATGTAGACTCTCCAAGCATACCCGCAGTGTGTTCCCTTTATTGCAGCAGTAGTGTATCAACAGTAGTGTTAGTGGGCAAAGACAATGTCAACTTCTGCACCATAAGAAATATGGGAGCAAGTCAGTGTGTATTTATCTATTTGTCAGCAACAAATGTCATAGGGAAAGAACTTGTATGAATGGAGAGAACATTAAAACTCCCCTTTTTTTCAGTTGGGCATTGCCATCCAGATGTAGTAAAAGCAGCACATGAACAGAATCAGTTGCTAAATACAAATTCTCGCTATCTCCATGACAATTTGGTGGATTATGCAAAGAGACTTTCTAAAACACTGCCTGAGAAGCTGTGCACATTCTATTTTTTGAATTCAGGGTAAGTATGAGGTATTACTAGTGATAAACTCGTAGCTATAGCTGAGGTATAGGTATAGTGACTATACACTTCATTGTAAGTAGCTAGCTGCAGGATCTTGTAAGTGTGGGTGTAGATCATGCATTGTCTGGTTTTGCAGACGAGATAATAATTTCAGACTTTTTGAGAAAGCTGCTGGATTTTATCCTTGTTAAACTTTTGCTGCTCTAAAGGTTTAAATTACCAAATTATTAGGAGAAAACAGACACAATGGTTTTGAAAAGCTTTTAAAAAGCAGCTTATAGAAGAAAACACGAACAGTTTATATTATTTAGATGTGTTCTCGCTCTGTCATACTAAGGGGTTTTTTCCTTTTCTTGCTCTGTCTGTGGTTGCTCTGGCTTACGTGGGACTTGCCAATCTTATTTTAAATTATTTTTGAGGTATGGGGATATTCAAGCACTGGATGCTGAAATTTGAAAATGTATTATTACATTTAATGATGCATTTAAATGTTTCTATTAATGTTCCCCATGCACTAAACAGAAATGTATACTATATTATCTCAGTATTGAATTACAGAACAAGACTAAATTCCATAATGTTTGTATCAACTAACACATACAAGTCCAGCTAACTACTTTTGCCAAGAAAATATACTATACATTAGGATATGAAGTAAAATACACTTTTGATACAAAAAACTATTAAAAGTATTCTGGTTTTGAAGAGCATTTTATTCTATTTCTAAGGCTCTGCTCTATCAGGCAATAATGTTTTTCAAATAATTGTAAATCTTTAAAGGCAGTACTATCCATACTGCAATAAAAGCAGTCAGCGTAAATTTAATTTTCATAGTATTAGCTTTGATAGCTTCTTGTCTAAACTGATTTATCATAGAATTATAGAAAGGAAGGGCTGGAAAGGACATTGAGAGGTCATCAAGTTCAGCCCCCAGCACTGAGGCAGAACCAAGTAAACCTAGACCATGCCCGACAGGTGTTTGTCCAACTTGTTCTTAAAAACGTCCAGTGATGGGGATTCCACAGCCTCTCTGGAAGCATATTTCTGAGCTTAACTATCCTGGTAGTTATGAAGTTTTTCCTAATAGCTAACCAAAATCTTCCTTGCTGCAGCTTAAGCCCATTACTACTTGTCCTACCTTAAGTGGATAGAGAATAATTGATCCCTGTCCTCTTTATAACAGCCCTTCACATATTTGAAAATCTTCCCCCTCAGTCATCTTTACTCAAGACAAAAAGGCCCGTTTTTTAAACCTTTCCTCATCGCTAAGGTTTTCTAAATCTTTTATAATGTTTGTTGTTCTCCTCGGGACTCTCTCCAGTTTGTCCACATCTTTAAAGTATGGCGCTTGTAACTGAACACAGTAGTCCAGCTGAGGCCTCAGTGCTGAGTAAAGTGGGACAACTACCTCCCCATCTTACATACAACTCCCATTAATAAACCCCATAATACACCTTTTTTACAACTGCATTACATTGTTGACTCATAATCAATTTGTGATCCACTATAACCCCCGGATCCTTTTCCACACCACTACCACCTAACCAGTTATTCCCCATTTTGTAGTTGTGCATTTGATTTTTCCTTCCTAAGTGAAGTACTTTGCAGTTGTCTTTATTGAATTTCATTTTGTTGAATGTAGTATCATAATCCTAGTCATATTCCAGCCCAGTGGCCTGCAGTTTTGGCACCTGTGATTATTTGCCTGTACAACTGATGTCATTTGTGGATGCAAAATGGCACAGCAAGGAAGGCCAAGGTTTCAAATCCTGTCCATGTATGTGCAGTGAAATAGCTTTTGAATTTTCAATTGCAGATCAGAAGCCAATGATCTTGCCTTGAGATTGGCACGACAATATACAAAACATGAGGATGTTATTGTTCTGGACCAGTAAGTATATCAAACAACGTTTAATAATATCTACGGTATTTTATTTTTGTTTAGTAATTTGAATTGCCATTTCTAAAGAAAGGGCACAGTTTTATTCAAACTACCCCCTCTGCAAATTTCTTTGACATAATTTTGCCCTGTAGAGGTCCGAATGGAACTAGTGACTACACCTCTGCCCCGATATAACGTGACCCAATATAACACAAATTTGGATATAACGCGGTAAAGCAGCGCTCCGGGGGGGGAGGGGGGGGCTGCGCGCTACGGCGGATCAAAGCAGTCGTGCCAGCAATGCCCCTCTGCCATGTACATTGGCCAAACCGGACAGTCTCTACGCAAAAGAATTAATGGACATAAATCTGACATCAGGAATCATAATACTCAAAAACCAGTGGGAGAACACTTTAACCTGTCTGGTCATTCAATGACAGACCTGCGGGTGGCTATTTTACAACAGAAAAACTTCAAAAACAGACTCAATGAGAGACTGCTGAGCTGGAATTGATATGCAACTAGATACAATCAATTTAGGATTGAATAAGGACTGGGAATGGCTGAGCCATTACAAACATTGAATCTATCTCCCCTTGTAAGTATTCTCACACTTCTTATCAAACTGTCTGTACTGGGCTATCTTGATTATCACTTCAAAAGTTTTTTTTCTCTTACTTAATTGGCCTCTCAGAGTTGGTAAGACAACTCCCACCTGTTCATGCTCTCTGTATGTGTGTGTATATATATCTCCTTAATATATGTTCCATTCTATATGCATCCGAAGAAGTGGGCTGTAGCCCACGAAAGCTTATGCTCTAATAAATGTGTTAGTCTCTAAGGTGCCACAAGTACTCCTGTTCTTTTTAAGATTTTTTTGGCTCCCGAGGACAGTGTTATATCGGGGTACAGATGTATAACAAAAAATAGTCCTTTTAAAACACAGTAGCTAGCAAAGCAGACATAAGAAACAGCAAATATTCTGCATCAGGAGTTTTGGAGCTTAATTCTGATTTGATTCCTGATCACCACCAGCAGGTAATACTCCTCCTGATACACACTGCTGTGATAGTAGAAACAAGCCATTGAAAAGCCAAAGAAGTGGGGGATTGATGTCAGTTTCTTCTACCAAGTAAACGGGTGGAAAGTCGGAGCCAAAATCCCAAATACAGTCGACCTGGTTGATAAATTCCTGTGCAGCTATTTTGTGCCATGTGACTATATCTTGGTCAGCTGGAATTCTAGAAAACTGTGATAATATGGAAATTACTGTTTAGCTCTGCTGATACATTGTTTTTGTTTTAAGTGCTTACCATGGACATCTGACATCCTTGATTGACATAAGTCCATATAAATTCAGAAACCTAGAAGGACAAAAGGAATGGGTCCATGTGGTATGTACACAATGCAGCCTATATACCTTGACTATTTCAGTTAATTTATTATCCACCTCATCTGTGGCATACTAATCATAAAGCATTGTTCCTTTGTTCAGGCTCCTCTCCCAGACACATACCGTGGAATATACAGAGAAGACCATAAAGATTCAGTCCTAGCCTATGCCAACGAAGTGAAAAAAATAATTGATCAAGCACAAAAAAAGGGCAGAAAGGTGAAAAGATCTTTCCTAATCCATTTGCTGACTTTAGCAGTGGGAATGAGTAGTAGAGTTTATCAGCAGCAATAGACATTACAGGACCATCCATGTCAGGGAATTAAGAAGCATGTAGATTGAATAAATGACAATTATACTTTCGTATTACATCCATCAAATATAATTTCTGAAGATTTAACTATATATAACAAAGTAATAGTTTAAAAACTATTCATCCAGCTATGTAGAGTTTGCAACTTGCCTATGTTACTGCAGTAACTTTTACTATTTAGTTCAAATGTTGCACGTTACTCTTCCAGATTGCTGCATTTTTCATTGAATCTTTGCCAAGTGTTGGTGGTCAGATCATTCCACCAGAAGGTTATTTCCAGATGATAGCAGAGTAAGTAGATCCCTTCAGAACCCTTTATACATGTTTTGTGTTCTTATTTATCTAAACTAAGATTAGACACCACCGTCTTTATCACAACATGCAAATAGCTTAGATTTAGTATGCTTGTTGCTTTTTTAGTATGCTTTTGTCCTATTGAATTGTAAGCTCTTCAGGGCAGCAACATTATTACTATTTTTATGTAATGTAGAACAAGCATATTGGGTTTTTATTTCTAAACTGGTTAAAATATTTTCTGTTTAAATGTGCAGTATAATTCATGTATCAATTGAAGTATCACAATTTTATGCTACAAATTTTAGAGATGGAAGTTGAGTGCCAAAAGTCTAAAATGTCCCTATTATGTTACAGACACGTACACAAGGCAGGAGGAGTTTTTGTTGCTGATGAAATTCAGGTTGGCTTTGGCAGGGTTGGCAAATGTTTTTGGGCATTCCAGCTTCAGGGAGAGGATTTCGTACCTGATATTGTCACTATGGGCAAACCAATGGGAAATGGGCACCCCATCGCCTGTGTAGCAACAACTAAAGAAATTGCAGAAGCATTTGCAGACACTGGAGTGGAGTATTTTAATACAGTAAGTGAAAAGTTAACCAAATCATTGTTTTCTGGTTACATGACCAACTAAATGTAAAAGAGGACATCACTGTTTAAGTGTCACAGTCCTGTAGGATACAGGTAACACGTTAACTGAAAGCAACATTGAGCAGTTATAGTCCACAAACAATGGAGGAAGGTTTTCGGCTTTTAATGTTGAAATATTTATTGATACGTAAAAACTGTCCTTTAATTTTTTTTCTCCCTATGTGCCTGACACTGTCTTTTTTTCCCTTTGAGCTTAGTTTGGAGGAAATCCTGTTTCATGTGCAATAGGTTTAGCAGTTTTAGATGTGATTGAGAAGGAACATCTTCAAGCACATGCCACACAAGTAGGCAACTTCTTGATGGAATTACTGAATCAGCAGAAGGTCAAGCATCCTATCATTGGTGATGTCAGGTATCAACAACCAATTCACATTTTCAGATAGTTTGATTTAGGTCAGCATTTATCAAATCGGAGCAACAAAGGTTGTGGCAAGCTCTTTAAATCTTGTGTTAACAGGCAATGCATCAACTAACATTCTAATATGGAACTATAATGGGTCTGCATTCTTCACCAATTCAGCATCACAAATACTTTTTGCGTCTCTCTTTCCCTCCCCCACCCCCATACAAGCTACTACAAAGATTGACTGACTTTCACTTGACTAAAATGTCTAGACTTGAATTGGCCTAGAAACTGACACCCTTATGATGGCACTGCCAGATCCAAGTTAAAACACAGATATGGAAACTTGCATTGATTCTGCCATCACTAAATTCACACACAGAACTTGAACTCAATCAGGGAATTAGAGTGAGCAGGGGAAAAAAATTAAAATCTTGTCTTGCTGTATTAATTACATTAATGACAGCGCCTCGTCTGTGTTAAGACAACTAGTAGTACCCTTTTTCTATCCCTTTAACAAACTAATCACGTTAGTAATAGAATTAGTGAAATATGAAAATATTACAACAGTATATGCTCATAGGACAGTCGCTGCTCCCCTTCTTTGTAAATTATTCCTAATTCCTTCTAGCTGATTTTAGACTGAATACCTGTTTTTTCTTTTAAAGGGGTGTTGGATTATTTATTGGAGTGGATTTGATAAAAGATCAAGAGAAAAGGACCCCAGCTACTAAAGAAGCTGAGTATTTAATAACAAGGTATTTTTTTTAAAGTACATACATATGTGGTTATACATTAATCCATGTGATTTAACAATGTTGTAGCACTTAATGAAACAATGTTGTGAGAGGCAAGTACTAATCATTCAACACTTATACAGCATATATATAACTATGTGCATAGCCACCGGGGACTAAAATATTATGCAGACACCAAGATGATAAAATGGGTATTAACACTGAATTTGTCAATCTCCAAATACGGCTCAAAGTGATGTCTTATCCTTGAAGACTCACTGATGTCATTGGGAAGTTTGCGTAAAGTTCATAGGTAGGCTTATGTAGTAAGCAAACTTTTAAATAAAGACACCCAATTCTTCAAAAAGTACTGAGGCTCCAATAACGCCTGTTTTTTGAAATTTTGGCTTTAGTGTATGCCAGTGGGCTGGTGTTTCTTTAAACTATAAAAAGAAGCGTTGAGGATTTCAACAGTTTCAAATTACACTGTGCTGACACTTGGTATATAAAATGTCAGTGTATACATCAGAGAATGTAATTTGGATTGTATCTTGCATGCAGTCCTTAATGTGAATTTCTGTTAAAACATAAAGTAATCCCCTCTCATCTAAGCTACTTAAATATCCTGAATAGTAGATGATGATCTACAACTTGACAATTTGTGGTGATTGGACCACAACACTTGGAGGACAGAGAATTTTTCTGGAGTCTCTCTTATGCTGCCATTGCAGTAATTAATATTTTAAATATTAAGAAAAATAGATTACATTTTAGGTCAACTTTTTTTTTTAGACAAATCTTCTTCCCTCTCTAGATTCAAGAGAGAATATATTCTGTTAAGTACAGATGGTCCAGGAAGAAATGTGCTTAAGTTCAAGCCTCCACTGTGCTTTACTATGGACAATGCCAAATTAGTTGTGGACAAAATGGATGAAATATTAACAGGTAAGACTGTCAGATTAATTTTCAGCAGTTTCGGTTAGCGGGCTGAGCAAGAACTCTCCTGTTCTAATAATCTTGGCTCTGTCACTACTGTAGTGTGACCAAGGGGAAGCCATTTAGGGCAACTTTTTCAAGATGGTTTCTAACTTTAGGTGATGAATTTGAGGCAGTTGGGCCTAAGTCTCAAAACTGCTTTGCACCTGTGAAAGCTAGGCCATCATTACCTATAGTAAAATTGAAGGCCATTTTAGAAAATTTTGGCCTTAACCTGTCCAGTGAAGCTCTTTAAGAGGTGAACACAATTGTACTTAATGGGGGATAACTGTGTAGGGCTCTCTTAGAACAGAGGGATACCTAGTAAAGGTGATCTCCTGCACAGGTTCATTATATTTATCTGCTGACCAGGCACATGTTGAGAATGAGTTCAATACTTTGCATCTCTAAACTATTAACTTATTTTACATTTGCAGTTAGCTCAGTGGGGTCATTAATGTCTTATGTCTGAACATTGTTATGAATTTGCTTGCATTTCAGACATGGAAAGAGAAAAGACATGTGAGCTAGTAGGAAACCACCATTAACTTTAGGCCTCAGCTCTATCTGGCCAGGTAAGCATTTTATCTTTTGCAGTTTGTTTAATTAGAATCACTAAACTAGTAATAACAATGCATTTGGTGTAAAGATCTAAGCAATCAAATGTTTGTCACATTTTTGCAAAATAGATGACCCCTTCTGATATTCTAATCACTATTTTGATTTATGTAGGATCACTTCAGCTTCTCAGCCCCCACAACCATCTATTCTCCCTCAAGTGAAATGCCTGTTTTTTTGATATAATTAAATCTTTATCCTTAAAGCACTTCAAAATTTGACTACTCCAATAGCAGCTGGATCCTTTAGAACCTGCTGCTATTAAAAGAATATCACCCATTGTGCTGTCTGTTTATGGTGATAGAGAGGGTAGTTGATTTTCAATGTATTTCATTGTGTTGGTTGCTGCTTATGTGACTGCTCTACTGAACCATTGAGTAAGGCAAGTGCAACTTGGTCCATTCTGGAATCTACTCTATTCTCCTGGAGTAATCAAAGAAGAAAAACCAAATACTCTGTGAGCTTCCTATAAGGCATAGGCCCTAACCTATTTCTGTTGATGTCATTTGAAATTTTGCCAGTCAAGGGAGTGGCAATAAGACCAGAAGCAAAAACACAATGTGGTGAACTAAGGAGAAACACTAAGATGCTTCTGCATTGCACCGGAAGTTAACTTTAGTTCAAGCAAAGGCTGCATTATCAGCTACAGCAGGTCATGCCCACATTACCTGATTTATTCAAGCATGAAAAAGTTGCTTTTGAATTAACATATAAGCAGCATACCTTAACTAGTATTTAGTCTAGATTTGTGAAATTAAACAGCGGGTAGAGAAATCTTAAGGCCTGATTTAATTGTCATTAAGATTAGAGATGCTGACTGCTGTGGGGGCTGGATGTCAGCTTTCAGGTGTATGCAATGTAACTGATCACAAAAACTTTATGAAGGTAGTTCTCCTTTTTAGTTGCTTATTTCCTATATCATTCATAGAAGAAACAGTTGCTACAGTACATGGCAAAGAGTCTGCAACTTTGCTTTAAATACAATGTAGGAGGAGAGGCATTGACCTGGTTAATTTCCTTCATGTAAAGAAAAATATGAAACCTGATACATACTCTACAATGTCTTACTTTCATCTATAGGTTCCAGACAGTAATTTGACAAAATCTATTACAAAGGATCATTAAATCCCCATAACTAGTGCACATTTAGGCTAAACAATTACATTTGAATCTGCAACGTTTAGTAACGCTTCTGTAGCGGTGAAAATCTTTAGAGAAAATACATAGGCATTATGATATAGTTTGCTTCAGCTGTAGGAAAGGTGGTGTGGGATTCACTTAATTAGCAGCCAGTTTCAGAAAACAATGACTACCCAGGAGTTATTTTCCTATTCTAGCTCTTACGTCCCACACTTTGCGGTGTTTCATTTTTCTGGTTTGAGCTATTCCAGTGACTATAACCATCTGAGCTTGGCCAAACATTCTGCCATCCCATAGAACCCAACAATCCTGTGTATCTGTCCTTATTTTGCCATACTTCAGTGTCTCACCAGGTACACCACCTGATTTATTTTGTGCCAATATAAGGTCTAAACAGCTAGACTGGTTTTCAGCCATAGGTTTCAAACAGATGGTTCTCTGTCCCAAACTCTGTACAAAAGTTCCCTATGAATTGCCTTCTGAGGACATGTTTAGTGAGGAAAGAGGAGGTCCAATCTAAACTGCCCACAGACGGCATTCTGTGTCTTTAACGGACACCAGAGTACTTATGGGCAATGAAGCAAAGCATACGAGACCTTTGTATATGTTGCATGCTCTCGCTGGGTAGCTTGAGATTCTCTTCAACAGCAATGGAACATGTCTCAACTACAACAAAAAAGGAATGGTAACCTCTGCTTTGGAGTATAAGCACCCTCAGTTTTAGCTTCAGGCTCTAATCACTCTGCACCCAGGATCCAACTCCACAAGTCTGTGTGACAGCCTGCTCCTTAACCCACAAGCTGCTCTACATGCACTTGCTGGCTAATGCACCATTATCCCTGGTGAAGTGTACAAATCTTCTCTGCTGAACTGTTTCTAGAACTAGTTAAAGGATCTGCTTATTTCCCACTCCCCAAACCCCCATGGTTATGTAATTATTAAAGTTTGCAGAGTTCAGCTTGATTTTGGGGGGGGGGGGGGGGGGAGCCTGTGGCACCTAGGATTACTTGTGTTCCATTTTATTTTGCATGCTCCCATACCTTGAGGGGAATGAAAAGGTAGTGAGCATGTGGGCTAAATTCTGTAGTTTGTTGCTGTTCTTCCCTCCCTGATCTACCTGGAGCACTTGATAGCAACTTTCAAAGAAAGTCAGACTCACAGGGTGTTTCCTGATGGCAGTGGGCTAGTACAACAGTAAGATACAGGAAGTTTTATACATTCTAGAGCTTTAAGTACTCTCCAAGAATAAGAGCTGAGAGAGGGGTAAATTTCTTAGCTGCATCTCCCACCATTTGATAGGCAGAGGCTATTTCCCTCCTGATTGCAGATTCCAGAGTGAGTTCAAACCTGTAGCACACCTGTGCTAGCTGTGCCCCCTTTTCCAGCCTGCTGCCAGATAGTTCATTCCACAGGTGTGTAAAAATTTGAAGAATATGATTAGTAAGTAAGTGTACTGCCAACAGTAGGCCAAGGTCTACAACCAGAAGTATTGAAATTAAATAAATACTGTTCCCTGGCTAGGAAGCCATCCAGGGAGAGCAGAATTATGGGAGATGCTGCTAGCAGAAAGGATATCATCAGGTAAGAGGTTTACAGTGCTGCAGTTTAGTATCTCCCACACTTCCATTGCTTATGAGAAGTTAGTGAGCAGTGAACTGAAATAGGGAAGGAAGAGAAAGAGAGAGAGAGAGGGGTTAACTGTCAGAGTTAATTGCACAAAATGGCAGTGCTGCTATACTAGACCATGGAAGCTGCTGCAGAGAACAGAAAACCTACTTTCTACAGCATCTAATAAAGGTGTTAAACAGATTATTATGTTGCTGCCTTGCATCTCTCTATTGTGGAAGCATAAGCTTTTTCCACCCACAAAGTCACCATAGATCTTGTGGAGTGAGCCTGGATGCCATTGGGAACAGAAGCACTGACACCTTGGCAGGCAATAAAGCCCAATCTTCTTGTCAGTTCAGTACACCTGATATAAATCTTTAGTGCTCTTTAACCGTCTGAAGTGTGCTACAGTTTTTTCTGTTGGGTGCTGTGGCTTTGGACAGAATGACGGGACTATAATTTCCTTGTGAGGTATGGAATGATGATCCTAGGATTCTTAGCAGCAGGTTGTCATGTTACAATAGAGTTCTTATATGGTATAGAAGTGCCACTTCAGAAACTCACCTAGCAGACATCATGGTAACTAAAAGACAGTTTTCATAGACAGAATGGAGATACAGGTCAGTGGCCCCACTGGTTGTGTAGTATGGGCTTTTAATGCCATTGGTAGGCTTCCACAAAGATTGGCTGAACCACTTGAACTGCTCTGAGAAATCTGGATACCTGAGGGTTTGTCAAGGAACCAGAGAATCCTGCAAATAGGATGTTTCTTATAAGCAGACACCTGGCATGTTATGGTGCTGGGCTAAAGTCTCTTGTCTACATCTTCCTGAATAAAGTCCAGGATTGTTGATATTTGTTGTACTGTTCTTGACACCATGAGCTAAACCTAGTCCACATGGAGGAGTAGGCCTTTAGTATTGAAGCTCACCTAGTAAAGAGGACAATTCCACTCCCAGTGGAGGATAGCTCTAGCACACCTAATACTTCCCATCTCAAGAGGCAGGCTACCAGCTGTAGATGATTTGGGTGTGGATGAAGGAATATGCCTTGGTAAAGGATGTCTCGTCTCACAGGTAGCTGCAACAGTGGCTCCAAGTTCAGTTCTATCTGCTTGGAGAACCATGCTCTTCTTGGCCCGTGAAGACCTAGTATCTTTTCTAGAAGTAGAAAGGGCAGACATGCATATACAGGCCATAGTGCCATCTGTGCAAAAGAGCATCCATCCCCAGGGATTCCTCTGGTAGATTATTTCAAATGTTTGTTGTTCTTGTGATTGGTGAATAGGTTGACCACCAGAAAGCTGAACCTGTGCAAAATCAGAATGGACTTCCTGAGTCAGGCACTGTTCTGAGCCAAGTCTGTCTTGGTTCAGCTCTCCTTTTACATGTATTGCTCCTCTAGCAGGGAGAATCCTCTTTACTTGTTCCTCTCCCTCTCTTTTGCAAGTAGTTACTCCACATTCCTCATAGGTTAATATACACCAGAACGGGAGTCTTGTCTGACTGGATCAGAAGCCCTTGACGTAGTTCTGGAATCTCCATAGCACTAGTTTACACATTTGAGCTCCACAGGTTGATGCTCCTTCCCCAAGGGTTCCAGGTGCCTGGCACTGTCCTGTGCCCCAGATGTACTTCCCATTCCATCTAGGCACAAGTACTCAAGAGTCTGGAATGCATACAGGGAGACTCTTGTGGATGTTCTGTGGGATAATGCATTAGCTGAGTGTTCAACACATGGCTCAGAACCAGCACCTGATGCCTACATTCTTGTAAATGGATCTATGCTTTTATTAGGAAGTACTGGAGGTAATGTATAGGGGACCTTGTCCAGGGGTTTATTTCTGTGCATGAAATCAGGAAGATCAGCATCTGTGTTAATATTTAGCTATAGTCTCTTATGCACTTTACCAAGATAGATATCAAGTTCTGGATCTTGAGGAATTTGTCCAGGGATGGGTAGACCTCTGGTTGCTGAGGTGGATGCCATGGCCCGTGCACAAAGTCTCATTGCAGCCAGTGTGATCTGCCACCAAGGCTGCTGAGATAGCCTATCCTTCATAACTAGGCTACTGTGGCTCTTCCAAAGGGCAGGATAGTCTGAGGGTGGCCACTGAAACCTTGAGTCCCTTTTCTCTCTCTATCAGGTGGTTCTTCGGGAGAGAGATTCAGTATGATTACTATATCTTTTGTAAGAGCTAGTACTGCAGCATTAATCTAGAACAGCATTTTGCCATGGCTGAGGGGAGCTAGGAGAGTCTGGAAATAAGCAGTGGATTGCTAGTTCAAGGTGGCTGAGGCTATCCCACTGCTTATTATGCAGAGGGAGAAGGAAGAGTAGCTTTCTCTGCCCACAAAAGAAGAAAATTAAGTTGCCAAAGAACAGGTGGGAGCAAAGTGGTGCTTAACTGCTGCTGCAGAGGAGATAAGAGGAGGGGTTGTCTGCACATGCACATACCCTAGCCCTGCTACAGCTTTAGACTGCCTCTGGAAATTGCAAAGGGGGGGATGGGAGAGAGAACAACCTAGCTATGTGCTGTATTAAGCTATTGGGAAAAATGCAGCTGTAAAGCCAGAGATGGGGAGTAACTTTAGTAGCTGAAATTATTTTTCATTAAGTCATGCTCCATGTCCTTTACACTAACATCTCTAAATCCATTCTACCCAAAACAACAAAAAACTTAAGCCCTAATTTGTAAACCTTTAGGTAGTAAATGAGTGCTAGAACTACATCTGCTGCTAGTCCTGACAATTTAACAAATGCTTCTACAGTAGATAGTTTCCACCAAGCCCACTGGCATTACTACTCCATTAACACTATTGCCCCTTTTAGGTACACTTACTCCAAATAGAGTTTAGTTTGCCTTCTGTACTAGGGAATGCAGTTATTTTAAGGTGGGAAAGGAAATGCTGCAGAAGTTAACCATACAACAGAGAATGAACCATTAATGAGAGTCAGTTACTTGTATGTAAGGTTAGGTTGTAGTCTTGGTTTTCACAGTTGCTCTGTTAGGTTAATTCTTTTAAGAACTAAAATTTCAGCCATACTGCTTAAAATTTAGGTGTCTCTGCTACATTGAAATATCAAAGCTATGCTAGATATGTGGCAATGTCACTTTGAAATGGTTCTTCCAGCTTCCATCAAGAAAGCCCAACAGTAGGTGCCATTAAATAGAGTACTCTGACCTGGTAGTTGGAGTAGTCAAGTAAATCTAGAATAAGATAGATACTGCAGTGAGTAGGTACAATGCAGGACAAAAAGTTTGTGAGGAATTGATATTCCTACCCCTGGAGAAACAGTGTAGCCTGCACAATTTTGGAGTGGCATTTTAAATATGCCAGTTTCATCTTTACAGGTTTTGTTCACTTTAATTTATATAAAGCCAGGAAAGTTGTTTGTCTTTATATTAGAAATTCAAGTTCTGTCTATCCCACTTTTCCTGGAAGGCTAGAAAACTGGGAGGAAAAAAGATTAAGTCACAAGTTCAAGGATGAGACCTGCACACAAATGAGGAGGAAATTTTTTAGTCACTATTTAAGACACCGTTTAACAATGCCCGTTAAAAGCAGAAGAAAAGAGGGATTCTTCCCCTTAGTCTCCCCTCCACCGTTCTCTGATCCTTCAATGAAGCTACCTGCAAACATCCATTCTCAATCTCTGCCTAGATCAGTGGTTCTCAGCCTGCGACCCAATCAGCACAGAGCTGCACCCCATATGACATCCTTAGTGCCATACAGGTAGTATTGGATGCACCCCACATAAAACAATGGTAAATAGGTTGAGAACCCTCTCACCTAGGGTTTGGCATCTTTCTAGAAACCAGAGGCAAAGTCAACTACTAGTACACAGTTAAGCTTAAAGGATCATTACAGTTGTCTGGAAGACAAGATATTCAAAAGCCGCCACCACTCCTAGACAGCTCAATTTCAGTGAGGTATTTCTACTGAGTTTTCTGTTCTGTAATATCACAATTGAGTTGGGAGCAGATGCTCATTTTCAAGTGCGAGCACACCACTGACCAACACAGTCTGGTTTTAAAGTCCAACCTTTAACTGTGATGAGATTGCTATGAACAACTAATTTTACTTCAGTTCTGGAAGCAGTACACTCGAGTTGTACTGATACAGCTGAAGAATGGCACAAGACACTAGATTACACCTTTTTTATTTCAAAAGCTAGGATAGCTTCAATATCCATGTCATGGTGAATCAGAACACATGTAAAATACCTTACAATACATTAGATTCCAAAAAGGTACCAAAAAGTACAGTAAAATTAACACTTCCATTACAGGAAATGTATGACACAAAAACAATACAAAATAAAAAGGTGGAAAGTGACACTGGTTCCCTAAGATACATCTCATTCTGTACAACTGGAGTAATGCAGAGTCCATAGTAAACTCCAAGAGGCAGTCCCTAGTTGCAGAGCTGCAGCTTTAAGCAGACCCTCAAAATCAGTTTCAGTTTAACCTATTAATAAAATCATTAATTAATATCTTCAGCAAGACTGAAGTTTACACACCACACTGTCTAGACAACTAGTTATCTGTAAATATTAAACATGTAAGACATTTCCAGGGAGCTCTTGAGTAAGATGCACATTTAACAGGCCATAGAAATTTATTGTAAAGTTAAATTTGGTACATAATTGTAATATCCATCTACAGCATTGAGTACAAAACCTATGCAGTCATTTTCTAAAAGAGACCATGCCACTGCATACCTGAATAAATTTGATCAATATGGCTTGTAATTATTCTGATGACCACCACGTCTTGGACTTTTCCCATAATTTGCACTGCCTTGACCTATAAACAAGAGATCAAATGCATTAAACTGCTATTACTTATGGTGCTCATACCCAATACATTTCTCTTTACTTACTGTAATCATAGCCTGGTCCATATTCATAATACCCACATCCTGAATAATCATAGCCTCCATAGCCACCATAACCTTGCTGATAGCCGTATCCTTGATTCCCATAACCCTGGGTCCAGTAATTGCCATAACCTTGATTCCAAATTTGACTTTGAGCTACAGAAGGGAAAACCATCCACAAAATCCCATTTTAGTACAAGCATCTTAGTTCTGAATGCGTCCATACTTAAGTAGCGTGTGCAACACTTACCACCTCTTCCACCTCTGCCTCTTCCTCCATAGCTGCCTCTTCCTCCACCACTACTGAATTGTTGCTGCTGGTATACTTCCTTTGGCTGCGCTACCTTGATCTCACACTGAAAAAAAGCAAGGAGAGCAATGTGCTTAAGTACAACACTGCCTTTGGAACTGAAAATGTAGAGTAGGTGAGCTGTGATTTTACTGGTCTACTACAGTGGCTCTCAACCTCTCCAGACTACTGTACCCCTTTCAGTAGTCTGATTTGTCTTGTGTACCTCAAGTTTCACCTTACAAAACACAAAAACAAACACTATTACTGAAAAATTGCTTACTTCCTCCTTGAGAGCCACTGGTCAAGAGGATCCAAATAAAGAGATACCAGAAGTTTAAGTTGGTACTCTCTTGCAGATTTGAGATTTTAAATGAACAGTGCTTGTGGATATTCCGCTCTTGTTTACTGCTGCAAGGTCACCAGGGAGTGCTATTAAAGGGGCACAGTCAGACTGAAGTCAAAATGATCATGTTAGATTTAATAGCTGTTGTAGTGATTTTAAGTTTAAATTTTGTGCATTTAACAGCACTTCAGCTAATTTATTGGTGTAGGTCTCACAGTAAAGTTACCTACCCTAAAATATTAAAGTTATTTTAAAACCACAAGGGGACTTGCACAAGTGTAGCAGCTGAACTCATTTTCTGAGGTTAACACTATCCTTTACAAAACTTGCTGCAGTATCAGCAGAAAAGTCTATTCTTTGAGAAATCCTAGAAGAGTATGTATGCATGTCAGAGCCCTTCAGGTAATAGTCCAACTTAACTAATGAAATACAAATTGTCCTTACTGCATCTGTGTACCTGAAGACCAGAAATGAGTCACTAAAACACAATTATTTCAGAAAGCATGAGATTCAGTTTAAACTAGATACCAACCTCTGAAATTGGGGAAATAATTGCTTCAGTTTGAATCATTTCCTACCTTGCTTCCACTAACATTATGGAATTTTTTTTCCAAGATCTTCTTGACTGGATCTTCTTCCTTGAAAGTGATGAACACAAAGCCTCTCCTTTTGTTGGTCTTTGGATCCATTGGAAGTTCAATTGCTTCAATCTGAAAACATTAAATATTACAACTTCAGGACCATTACTTTTCACTGTATTGTTACGTTCTGTATTTCATGCCTGAACATGTTAGCATTATCATGGTATTTATGTAACAGAATAGCATAAACTTCCTTTAAGCCAATTCATACAAGTTTAGAGCTCTAGCCTTCCAAAATAGGATTTAAATATGGGGATAAATGTTCCCAAATTACAGAACAAGTACTCGATTAGACCACAAAAATGTCAAGTGCACATCTGGCAATTTCTGCCTCGAGCTGTAGTGATGGTCATCTCTTTTTACGTGCATGACTTTTTGAAAGTCAAACCCTTAATTTTAAGTTACTACTATAACAAATGCTTAGTGTTTTGAATAGTTCAAGGTATTTTGGAACAGAAGTTATGTAAACTTGAAGATCCAGTCTATGTTCAGTTTACAAAATATAATTACAGCATATTCTGCTGTATTTCAGCCCGTACCAGGATTAAAGTTACATACTTCTCCAAACTCTCCAAAGTATTCCCGGATTTTCTCTTCTGTGGCTTCAGGGTTAAGTCCACCAACAAAAATTTTCTTCACTGGATCTTTTTTCATTGCCATGGCCTTCTTGGGGTCAATAAGTCGCCCATCTAACCTGTGTTCTTTCTGTTCCAATACCTGCAAATAATTTGGTATGGCAAGATTAATTCATGTAAAAGGAGATTTTCACTAGAATTTAGAAAGATCGGAGGTATAATCTTAAACTCACCTTGTCAACACTTCCAGCTTCTTTGAACAAAATAAATCCAAAACCTCTTGATCTTCCTGTGTTCGGGTCCATCTTTATTGTACAGTCAGCCACTTCACCAAATTTAGTGAAGTAGTCTTTCAAGTCTTTTTTGCTTGTATCCCAGCTGAGGCCACCAACAAACATTTTCCTGAAATTTCATAGGGGTAAAATTATTAAATTAGGCATTGTTACAGCAGTAGACAGCATGATGTACATTAATATCTATATGCTTCCTGTGCATTGTGAGGAACAAGGCCAAAGGCAAGAAGTGCATTCAATGGCCTGTTAATATATGCCATTTCAAAGGTATTGCTATTAAAGGACTTGGCAATCTTTTGTATTTCATTTTAAAGACCTTTATCCAAATTAAAAGGATTTATGCAGTGTTTCCTAAGAGCTCTTGGTGCAAGAAGATGAGCACAGACATTACTCAGTTACTGTTAGAAACAAAGGTTTGTCCTCTTTAAGCCTCAATATTCTGTTAACAGCACTTCACTGACTGCCACTTATAACTTTCTAGTTTATAAAAAATAAATTTGGAGTACTTAATATTCTCAATTTAGTTTTTGGGATAAGAGTTAACATCCATAAAGCTGAAGCATGTGCTTTTGTATTCAAGGATTTTGGCCCAGTTCCTAACATGGTTAGTGTCACATCTACATGACAAATGGTTACAAAATGGTATCAGAGGCAGGGAACAACCAACTTATAATTCTATAGATAGAACCCTGAAAGCTCTTTGTTAAAAAAGGTTTATGAAATGGAAGCCAGAAAGGGGTTTCCCTACTCTCTTGCATAGTAAATTCAAGACTATCTAGTTTAGAAAATTTGAGTATTCGTGAAATTGACATCAAGGGTAGGAAGTGAAAACTGAGCCACCAACAGGGAAGAGATTTAAATCAAGACATTTAGGATATTCAGCTCCCCCAGCTCATCTATTCAGATTAGAGCTCAGAAAACAATTCAAGATCCAACAGGAACTCCAGCAAAGCCCAGGAAGATGGCTATACTTCACATCATGGTATTTCCAAGGTAACATGTATAACTTTAATAACCTTAACGCCTTTCACACATCTTTAGGGCTGAATTCAGAGCCCTGACATTGTGTAAAGGCAGCCCAGCTGGTTAGTTCCACAGTTTGTCTACTTCTAAGTGAACTGAAGTAACTCGAGTTATTTGAGGTTACTTTTTGGCTTCCAATTCAATCTAGTTGATAATTTAAGTGTTCCCAGCAAGGAAAAAGCCTTAAAATGTATGTTACTCCATCTATCTTTTTATATAAAAAGAGCTGTAACTATCAGGCAAGTGGACCATTTCCTGATGGAGAGATTCTAGTTTGCACCTGCTTTAAAGAGTACACATGTCATTAGTCCAACTGGAAAGTAAGAATGTGTTTTTGAACAGTTCATCCTGACAGCCACACTAACCCCACCCTTGCAAAATGGTTAAATTTACCAAACTAGGCATACACCCTTTACCATGAGGTGTGAAGATCACATAAATCTGAATTTTTGCAAGGCTTCTTTAATCTGCACTAACAGACAAATAGGCTTGAGTAATCTACAGTGGCACTTTTGCTTTAATGGCAAGACAATTCTGTAGTTACACTTTAGAGATTGCATTGTATGGTGAATTCTGGCAGTTTAGTATTACAATATCCTGTAATGCTTTCAAATAGTTTATAATACAAGGATCTCCGACAGTTTCATCCCTAGATTTTGGGGCAAATTCTAGTCCCTGCACAGAAAAAAAGATCAACCCCCATGAGGAAGCAGGTAAAGTAGCACTATCACATCTACTCTGCTGCAACCATAGGTGTGCACTGCACTTCAGAGAATTCAAAAATTCTGCCCTACACATGGTTTTGCACAGTAAATTATCCAGTGGCCTAGCTCCCACACTCCTCAGGCCTGCTGGACAGGCAAACTGTCATAAGGAGCAGAACCATGCCATTGTGAAGCATCCAAAGATTGGAGGCTCATGTGAGTGTATTTGGACCTTAATCACAAGGCTTCAAACTAAGGACAGAAGTTAAGCTTGAATGGAAAAGAGTGGCGTAATCCACAACTCTCCAAAATACAGCGCATGTGTATTTTTCAAATCAGGCATAACTGTGCACTAGTAGGCACCAATATGGGGGTGGTAATAGTAGTAAGTCCCAAGAGACTTGGGATGAGAGCCAACACTGGAAAAACTACACCCTCTCTCCCAAAGTCACAAGAGATTAAGGCCTTGTGTACACTAGAAAATTAAGTCATCTTAACTGCATCACTCGAGGGAGTGAAAAATTCACACCTCAACTGCATAATTAAGCCAACCTAACCCCCAGCATGGCAGTGCTAGATTGACAGAAATTTTTTTCCACCTCCTGGGCTGGTGGCTTTACCTACGCCAACAGGCAAAACCTCCTATCAGCAGCATAGCTAGTTGCATCTAAGCTGAAGTGCCACAGTGGTGCAGCTGCAACTATGCCACTGAAGCATTTCAAATGTAGCCATGCCCACAGTTAGCCGACGATGCACCAAGGAATATACTGTAGTAAGTAGTGTAGGGCATGGAATGCAAGTGTTCCCTTTCTACTCTGTGATGCCATCTCTCCCCCAGATACTTTCCTAGACTCCCACCAGCCATTTTCAGGGAGACGGGATCTTCAGATACGTTATTCAAAACCGGCCGGTCGTGGGATTAGTCTCACTATTGAAGGGGGCCCGGCCCCCATTTCGCCGAGCGGGAAAAGCAAGGCCCTGCCAAGCCTCCCCGCTCTGAAACCCCGGGCGCCGCCGCCAGCGGGGAGCGAGGCGAACTCTGCCATTTCAGAGCGCGAGGAGCCAGCAGGCTGCCTCCCCGCCCCTCCCCCAGCCTCCACATGGCGCCAACAAAAGGCAGCCCCAGAACAAAGGGAAGGCCTCGGCTGCTGCAGTGCCCGGCCTGCTCATTGGCCGCCGGGCGGTGCCGGGCCTGCCCTCCGCGGCGGGGCCGTTCTGCGGCCCTACCCCAAGCGGCCGAGACGGTCTGAGCGGCCGGGCCTCCCACCCTCCCCCGCCATTTCCGTTACCGCGAAAGGCAGCCGCGCGCGCGGCCTACTGATCCGCGACCGCGCGGCACATGGCGGCGGAGCGCGGGGCCCGCGCCTCCGCCCAGCCCCCGCCAGAGGGGCCCGCGGCGAGGGGCGACACCTACCCCGCATCCTCCTCGTTCTTGCTGGCGTTGATCTGGTCGCCTTCGGCTCCGTTCTGGCTGGCGGCCACCGGCGCCGCCGCGCCGCCGCTCTCGGCCTGCTGCTCCCCGGCGCCTTCGGCCGCTTCGTGCCCGTTCTGGGTGGCGTCGGCGGGATCCGCCCCCTGCTGCTCCACTTCGGACATCCTGCCCGTCTCCCGAGGCTGGAGACAGAACCGCCTGCGACACAAGCGTAGCGCACGGTCAGAAAGGCCGCGGTCCTGCCGCCCGCCCCGCGGCTCGGTCCAGGCCCGCCCGGCGAGACTCACCTTAAAACCCGCTCTCGATAAAATCCGGGCCGGCCGGAATCGGATTAAAATCCCCGCGTGAGCTCGACCTGGGCTCCCTTCGCTCGGCTGCTCTTCGACTGGCCCCGCCGTCACCCCCTCCCCCGCGAGAGACACGCACTCTCCAGCCCGCACCGCAGCCTTCCGCGCGTGGCCGCCTTTATAGCGCGAGAGCGAGCGCTCGAGCCACCCGGCAACAAGGCGCCTGCTCATTGGCTGCCCTCCCTTGCCACTCAGGCGGATTTGCCTCTCTCATTGGCTCCCTCCAGACCAAGAGTGGGGCTGGCCCCACGGGGGAGTTTGGGAGCGAGCAGAGCGGACAGCGGGGCCGAGCCTGGGTCAGGCCGACAGGCGATGCAGGGAGGGAGCGAGTGGGCCTGGTACCCGGACGCGCAGCGGGGCCGCTTCCCCTCCCCCCGGCTTGGCCCTCGTGTGGAATGAAGCCTCCCCACCCGGCTGAGTGCTGAGGCCGTTCTGAGCAGACGGGGAGCGGCCAGCCTGCCCGCCTCTTGGGGGGAGGAGGGGAGTGTCTCCTTAGTTCCCCCATAGGCCTCTGTTTAAAGGAGGGGGGATGGTGAGACTTGGTTTGATCAACCCCTTGAAGCTGGTGACTTGTCTGCGATTGGAAGCGTTGCCCCCCCTCAGTCAAACGCACAGGCTATGTCTGCACAGCTACGGCTGCACCTCTGCTGCTGTAGCATAGGTGCTCCCTACATCAGTGGAAGGGGTTTTGCCGCCGATGTAGATGTAATCCATCTCTTAGCTAGCTGTGTCTACACTAGGGGTTAAGTCAACCTAACTACTCTGCACTGAGTGAAAACATTTTCACACCCCTGAGGGCTGTAGTTATGCCTAAGTTTTAGATGTAGACCTGGCCTGAGGCAAAGTGACTTATCTAAGGTTACCCCTAGCTCCAGGCCAGTTGCAGAGCTAGGAATAGAACCCAGCCTTTCTGAGTCCCAGGCCAGTGCTCTGTCAGGTAGGCCTTCATATTATCTGTGTAAATAAACATAGATGCCTCTCTATAGTTTTGAAGAAAAACAGCCAAAAAAACGGAGGTATGTAGCAGTGTTATGAGATAATTACTGTTAAAGTTTCTCATCACTTAACAAAACATATCTTGTCTTCAACATGTTTATTTTTAGAAAGAAAATTCGGTTGTTACTAGTGTTTTTTGGGAGGGTGGGGGGGTTAATTTGTAAATTTCATAGTTACCAAGCCGCTTGTATTTTAAACTATAAAGTCTGACTTGGTCTTGTATGAAACCTGCTAGGGTTGTCATCCATCCTCAATTTTTCAGGCTAGTCAAAAGTATGCCCCACATTCTGCAATGGCTGCAGCTTGCAGGACATACAATCCTGAATGTAGTTAATGTGAGATCACATTACAATGTAATGATCTTTCATTGCTCATTAGCATCATTGACATACTACAAATAATACCACTATGGAAGGGTTATTCCATTCAGCCTGGTACAACCAAAACCCCTTTGAGACAAGTGACTTTTAATTACTTAGGCCCAATCTTGCACCAATTTAGATAAGTAAGTGTATCTGAGTAGTCCCATTGATTTAGGCTATATCTACATCTCAAATTTCTGCCATCATAGCTTTGTAGGTCAGGTGTGTGAACACTGACATAACTGTGCTAGCAAAAGCCCTTAGTGTAGATGCAGTTATACTCACAAAACTGTGCTTTTATTGATACAGCTGGTTTTGCTTCCAAGGTAAAAACTATACCAGTAAAAGTGCAGTTTTGCCACTATAAGCTGCGTTCACACTAGGAGCCCTTTTCCAGTATAGTACCTATACTGGTAAAGCACTCTTGGTGTGTATGTCTACATGCATTGATTTAGTTAAACTGGTGCAAAATGCTGTGTGGACATTCTTATTTCTGTTTAAACCCGATTATTTATGTTTCTCGCCCTCCAGCTTTTGCAATCAGGAGGACTAGAAACGTTTTTTCTAAATAGAACTTTAGATTCTGATGTTATCATCTGACCGTGGGAGCTAGTGCCTATGCCTTAATCTGGCTCTCCCTAGAGTGCAGCTGAATCTCACTGATAAAAAACCAAGCCTGAGAAGTCCAAGAGAGCCCATGTGATCATATTTTCAACATCTGCACACTCTGTTGTCATTGGTATCCCATTTTGGCATCTCGTGAAGGTGGAGCTTGGCTTTTGGGCAGAGCTTCAGAGAGTACCATCCTTTTTTACTTTTCCTGTTCAAGTCCTGATTTGATTTAAGGATGAACGTGACAATTGCCACCTAAATGTCTCTGTAAATGTTACTAATTGGCAAGGCGAAATGATTATTTACCTGTCTGCCCACGGTCTCTGGTAAATTTCTCTTCTGGCTCCACTCAAGTAATTGCACTCTCTACTGCAATTCAGGAGGAACACAGGTGGCTGGTTGTGGTTAACAAAAAATAAAAATGTGATGGTGTATTTTCTTGCTAGACAACCAGACCTAAGATCCAGGCCATCCTTACACAAATCACTTTAAAACATTTTTGGCCCCCTCATCCATTTTCAAATTAAGATCATAACAGAAAAATACGGGTTTTTTCCATGTCTTTGTAACAGGCAAAGAATAAGGATTGCAGAATAATGTTGTACTCAGGATGAGCACAATCCCATAACATGCTATTTTTAGAATAAGAGCCTAATCCAGTTCCTTTTGAAGTCAGTAAAAAGATGTCATTGGGTGAGGACCTAATGGAGAATTTCTAAATAAATAAGCAAACTTACATAGTTTTGAGTTTACTTGAAAAATCTGGTGCCTCTCAACATAACAAAGAATTCACCGTTTTGAGTGCACTTCCCAGCCCCTGTTGTCTTGATGCCTCTGGCACTTGCCATGAACAGAATTTTAAAGGCCCAAGATGAGTTTTATGTTTTGATTCCATGAATGTGTGCAATGTTTGAGTAACGACTGCTGGTGAAATTGTAACTTAATTTTTTTTTCATTTTTGTGTGGTTAAATTCTCAGCCATATTGTCTGTGTTTGTAAACCTATTTTTTATTTTCACATTCTTGTTGATTACAAATACAAAATTATTACAACAATTTAAAATTAAGTGACCACTCAAAATGAATTTCCAGCCCAAGGAGTAAATTAAAATTAAACTGTAGTAAGGCCACTTTAATTCTGTATGACAGCCTCACACAGAGGTTTAATATAGTTTAACTAATCCACTTTCAATTCACACCTTTAGTTAATTCAGATTAATTTTCCTGTGTCCCCATATAGCCAAGCCCTTATTTAAACTGAGTTTAATTCCATTCATCTTAATTCGTTTAGGAAGTGAATTAAACTAAACTAAACTGAATTAAGACTATTTTAATACTGAATAAAAGGGTCTACAGTGATTTTAATGTGGTTTAACTAAGCCACTTTAAATTCACATTATTAGTTAATTCAGATTAATTTTGCTGAGTGTCCCCGTGTAGACAAGCCATTAGCTTCACACACCCTTATTAACCAGGAGTTACACACTTCTCTTTTCAGGTGGATTTCTCCCTCTCCTTTCCTTTCTTTCCTCTCACTTTTTCCCTGGTTCTCTTGATTTTTTTTGTTATGTTCTATTAGTTTTCTTTTCTTTGCCTCACCTTCACGTCCCTCATACTGCTCTTCTCGCACGCATTAAATTGCTTCTGATTAACGTTGACTCATTGACTCTTCTTTCCTTATCTTCTACAAATGGAAAGTGTTTCTATAAGTCTCCTTTCTCCAACTGCCCCATTCCAGCCATCATTTCTAGCTGGCTAATTCCAACTCTCGCACCTATCTAGACAATTCCAGCTGGCTACTCCCACCTGTCCAGTTCTAGCTGCCATTCCTAATTGCCCCATTTCAACTGCCAGTCCCAAGTGTCATTCCTAACTGTACAGTTCCCTCTGATACGCCAAACTCCACAAATCCAACAGCAAAGCTGTATCCTGACAATCCCTGGCTACCATTGGCAGTTGACACAAATTAGAGTGGCTTTTAGGATTATGGGGACTGAAAAATCACTTTTGTATACCTACGTGTATCCCACTGCACTGCCTGCTGCATGCTCCACAGTTACAGCTAAGGCTCTAGGAGTTGTTTTGGACAATCCTTCCGGGATGTTAGAGTAACTAGACTTTCTGGTCTTATGCTTCACTCTGTATTTAAAGGGTGTGGTTATTTCCCAGTAACCACACACCCTCTTGTGTGTTATTTCTTACATAGCATGCCTACTGCTGTGAAAAAATAACATCCTGTTTTCACACACAGTGTGCCTGATCCTGCAATAATTATGATTTTGTTGAGGATGATTTATCATTGAAATCAATGTGAGTTTTTCCTGTGTATGGCCTCTTGATGCTGGGCCCAATTCTGCCATTCTTATAAGTGCTACCTTATGTATTTGTGGACAAAAGTATTACTCTAGGTGAGTAAGGATAGCAAAATTGAACCTCATGCAATACACAGACTTCAGCTGCAGGGGAAAAAAAAACCTTGTAAAGGAGCACTGAGGATATGACTTCTACAAAAGCCTGGAAATCCTCACATGTTTCTAATATTATTCTTATTTGAAAAAATGTATGAATGATGCCAGAAATATTTAGGAATAGATTTCTAAAGGCAAAAATGGATCCACATCAAATTTCCATGCATGCAATTTCTAAAGATGGTTGGGCACATATAAAATTATGCCTTTAAAAATCTGCCACTTAACTTTGAATATCTTGCTGTGGTGCATTTAACTTGAAATATTAATTTTCCTTGCAGGTTATTTTTAAGTCTTTGATTTCAGTTTTTATTTATGTATTTAACATAAGCATAAAAGGCCCCTTTAACAGAACTTTTGAAAACTCTTTACTTCCCGGTATATATTTAGCTGATGGTCTGTAATGGCTCAGAACTTATAAAATACATATGTAGAAACATAAGAACATAAAAATGGCCATACTGGGTCAGACCAAAGATCCATCTAGCCTAGTATCCTGTCTTCCAACGGTGGCCAATGCCAGATGCTTCAGAGGGAATGAACAGAACAGGTAATCATCAAGTGATCCATTCCCTGTCGCTCATTCCCAGCTTCCG